TTTATAACCCGGTGAAAGTATCTTCGTCGAAGTGCCGGCACCTTTATGATAACTTCCATACTAGCGTATTATCACCGATTTACCTCAAAGGTGACGGCATGTTAACAAAGAAGACCTACAGCTGCTGGTGACGCCGTAAATTTTCCGAATTACCGATTGCCCCATCCGCCCCTGGAAGTAATAATTTCCCCAGTAGTCTTCCTACTTAATATTATAGTATGTCATAACTTTACGACTAGCGATAGAGGAGACAACGACATGCAGCATTTCTCTCTCAGTAACAACTTTCTAGCTGGGATATTTCTTTCGGATGAATTTTAAATTCCGTATATTAGCGCACATATGTGTTTTGAATAAACTCGTGCTTGAACATTCTCTTTCAGAATAATAAACTCTTCTAACATCATAATATCAAGATTCGACATATCGCAGTTCAGCCTTACTGTATAAATCAATAAACAATTGACTACCAAATTTACTAATATTTTTTTTGGTAATTAACGTAATCTTGATTGCCGGTTCATATTAGGCTGTAGACACCCAAACGGCCTTCGTGATCATCAATGATCACGAATTTTAAATTTTATCCTTTAAAATTTTATCGAACCCCCTCCCGGTGGGAAGTCAATACTGACCCCATTGGGGAGATATTTCACATAAGAAGTAGTTTGAAGTAGTAATATGTGCACTTTATTCACTTTCTAAAAAGCAAACTAATCATAAAAAGCATTTCCTTAGAATACATTATGAGATAGCTATGAGAGTGTTTAAGATTAATAGAAATAATGCTATTAAAATTTTAAAACATGAAAAAAATATTTAAAAAAAAAGAAATTCGAAAATGAAAACTTTTTCATTTGGTGGAATGGTACGTTATTCCACTGACAGAAAGAATACTTCAGTTTATGTGAAAGTCATTCCTATTTTCAAAATTTTAAATCGGATTCTCCTAACACACTTCGCAGCCACTAGATGGCGCATATGTTATCTGAGTTCGCAGCAGATGGAGAAAATCGATTTCTCGTTTATGATAGTCTGCTTTTTTCCCCCTACAGCGGGAAAGTGTTCTGGAGTTCCATTCATCAACTTTTTAGAAGGTTTTCTTTGTTATTATTTGCCTCCTTTTGTTTACTAAATTGCTGTTCGATGCAAAATAAAGTTACATGTGTTAGTAAATATTAATTATTCTTAAGACATTAAGAGTTATTTTTAACGCAATTTGATTTTTATCGTTTTGTGCTTTTTATATGGCAATAGAATTATTCTTACCGAAAAGAACAAAATGGATTCAGATAATCGATTTTCCTGTTCTAAAAAATAACTAGTAAGTGAAGCATTCGCCTATTGGTAAACACCTAGAAGGGGCACGAAATTGGTTACGAAGAGTTGGTTATTCATTTTCGAAAATAAATTTTGATTGTTAACTTTAGACTCTGAAACACATGTAGAAACATAGTTTTGAAATATAATAATTTAAGTAAATTTTTTTTTAAATATATAAAAATTTCTAGCTCGCTTGATATTCAAATGAGGCAGAAAGAGAGAGGGTACTATTTATAGGAAGATTTTAGAAAGTAGAATCAGACCACATTGCTAATTTCGATTCTCCTGAAAGTAGTATTCTGCGGCGTTCCGTTATTCTCGCCATTAGGCTTATCATGCGGACCTTTATGTCAGAGCCAACTTACGCGTCCGTTAACTGTGTAGTCGTTACGCTAGCTTACTATTACTTAGTCAAATCAAATTCATTATCTTCATTTAAGCCATAATTGCTGGCTATATTTTATTAACACGAGTGGGTCCGTCTGTTAACTTTTATTTGAGTTAAATAAAGGGTCCTTTATACCCTTTCCCAGTCTCTGTGGTACCCTATAAGACATAATGTTAATTCACTTGTCTTCAAACGTTTCTTACATTTTTATGTTTGCAAAAAACACAAAACATTATAACTGTATATAGGGGCTCATATTTACCTCTTTGCCTCAGGTAAAAAAAATACCTAAGTACGGCTTTTCTCTTAATCGTGCCTCAGAGGGAATGCATGATATCCAGGGGCGGGTGGGGTTATCAGGAATTCGAAAACTTTCCAGAGGAGACGAGGGCTAAAATTCTTCCTCTGTCGCTGAAGATGCCGACACCTTTATGCAAGTTGGAGATTGTTCGTCAAGACAATAGCAATCGTAACCTCGACGAAAGGTGCTTTCTCTAAGTTATAAATTGCACTTCGTAATGGTGCCGGTACCTTGATGAGAGAATTTTGCCAGAAGTCCTAATAAAGATGCTCTGATATAAAAGATACCAGTACCTCGATGAAAGTTGCTTCCTTCAAGTCGTAAACTGAACTTAATAATGGTACCTGCTTCATAAGACTGCTGGCAAACAGTATTTCATTTGCATAAAGGTGCCAGCAACTTATTTATGATGGACATTTCGCCAAGACATAGACTACCATAAATGTACGGCACTTTAATAGAAGCTGTTTTTTCTTAGTTCTAAACTGTACTTCATAAGTGTGCAACACATTTAAGCACCTTTATTCACTAAAATAAAGACCCGACCACGGGCATCCCGGCGCCTTGATGAAAAATGCGTTTATCGAGTTAAAAACTAAACTTAGTAAGAGTGTCAGGCAGTTCTTTTGTTTTAATGAACATTAGCTAACTTGCAATATGGCGGGCACATTTACTGAAATCGGCGACAGATCTTCAAAGGAACGTATTAGATTTGAAGGTCTTGATGAAGATTGCATTCTTTATGGTATCAAATGAACTTCATAAAAATGCCAGGCACCTTTGCGTCTTCATGCTGCGGGGCATTATTATATCTGGTTTAACTTGAATCTGAACCTTCTATCTGGTTAACTTGCATAAAGCTGCAGGCACATTTATGAAAACTGCCAGCTCCGAGAAGATCACCTCCATCCGCAGATAATTTCCATGCTTTTTTTCCTATTCTAAAAATTATTGGCCACTTTCGGACATATCTACTAAGAGGTAGGATTAAGAGAAATTTAAGGAGTGAAATCTTCTTTAAACTGATCATTCGCTGTTCCAGTTATATCTCAGAATAGAGCATAATAGAATTTCTGTTTTAAATCTTATGGCCATGTTTGAATACTTTTTTTTTGCGTAAAGATAGAAATTACTCAATCCGCCGAAACTTTCTCACATGAGTTTTGCATAATAACTTTCAAGCGGTAAATAAAAAAAAAAAAAAGAGAGAGGGAAAATAATAATAACAAGAAGGCGATAACAAGACTTGGTGAAAGAGTCAGTATTACGCAAGAAAGTCGTTTCGAACAAAAGGAAAATTGCGTTACCATTGTAAAAGAAAAAAAAATTAAATCTCTTGTGACGTTGCTGTGAAGAGTAGATGTTACTCAAGGCAGTCGGGGGGGGGTTAAGAATCGTAAAAGTTGAGGAAAAGACGAAGCGGACATTCAGAAAGACATCACTCAAGTACTGATTTTTGATGGAACACTCAAGAGCCACGCTTTTTAAAAAACATAGTTGGTTGAACATTAAGATAGTTTCTGTCCCCTCTAATTGATCATAGTATATAAATGTACGACAGAATCTCGTAAACTCGATATTCCGTATAATTCGAAGGTCAGTTTTTTTTTTTTTTTTAATTGCTAAATGATTTGTGATAGTCAACAATACCATTATCTTTGAAATAAAAATAGCTTGGTGGTTTATTAACAGCTAAGCTGTAATAATTTTTAACATCGCTTACAGCATAAGCTTACAGCTTAACAAACAGCATAAGTAAATTTTAATTAGTGTATTCAGGGGCATACCGAGGGAGCAGGAGCGCCCCGCGCCTCTGATAGAGGGGGCCTCCAAAAAATCTTACGTTTAACTATATGTGCCTTTATTTTATTTAACTATATGTACCTTTAAACCTTTATGTAGAAATATAAAAAAGAACAAAGCTAAAAATACTCTGCATTTAAAATGCTAAAAGTTTATCGTGAAAATGGACTTCGAAGAATCAGTCCCTAATTCATACTTGACACTAAAGATTTACATTAATTTATTTGGCACTAGAGCAGTGTGTGTTACTGTTGCTTCTTGCGAGAGAAGCTTCAGAGTTGATTAAACAACTAACAATGAGCCAAGTATTACATCTGAAGATTCAGTGGGGCTAATGGTGCAGGAATTTTTTTCAAATCTCATAACAAAATTTATTAACAATAAAGTAACAAAAATAAATTCATTTACGATACATTATTAGGCTATCTATAACTTTCGTATCTTACATGTCTAGCACCTTGTCTGCCACTGACTACCGAAGCACAGACAACGCTCTCTAATCGAATGGCGCAGCAACTATATAATACTTTCCACCTGACCTCCAGTGTTCATTTACCATTGATTTTCTGCAAAGTTTATATTCAGGAACTTTTTGAATTTACGTGAAGTAAAACACAAATAGAATATTACATCATGATACGAAGCATCAGAATTGTTCACAATCATTTGACATACAAATATAAACTTGATTTTTAACATTCCAAATAAAATTATTCAAATATTAAGTTTTAATATATATATGTGAGCACAGTTACATCATTAATACATAGAAAAAAAAATTACTGCACTTTCAAATTTTTTTTTTCTTTCAAAAGATACTGATCCAAGTTCACAAAGTTCAGAACACCAAGTCCTCCATTAAGTTTCTAAGTCGCTTGGCACATCTCTTGTAGGAGAATTTTCACTGTTATTATAAAAGGACAATCATTGCACATGGGTTATATATCTTTGAAAGAACTCTCAGCACGTGTCACTTGGTAATTCTAGCATCAATGGAATGTAAAATCTCTCAAATGTAATTAATTTTATCCTCATTCGGATCCCACTTCAACCCCAAGAAACCTGTCTCTTGCCCGAAATCCATATTTTTCTCATATTTGTTTTCCCTTCCTGAATTTACATAGGAATGATTAGTATTTAATTTCCGCAAATGAAATCCCTTTGTCTTGAGTATCTTGTGAAGTCATGAAAAATCCAGAAGCAAGAATGATAGCATAATGATGCATCAATCTTTTATTTACATCACTATCACAATACATGAAGACACAGACATAAATTTAAATTTGTACACGTTTAGAAATATTAACAGATTTCCGTATTGGTGACACGTTCAAAAGGCGGCCAAAACGGGCCATGATGACATCCGAAGCACCTGACCTCGGCAGATGAAAAAAATCTCGCACTTTAACTATCGCTGTCAGAGCTTCCAGTCTCTCTCTAGTCAAGGCCAAGGATTATGTCTTACGGAGCACATGTGGTTCGAAACCTACCTACACATGAGAAATATTAAAACTGAGCAGAAAGAGGAAAATACATAAAAGCTAAAAATGGCTAAAGAGAGTCGCATGACTCGAGAGAGGTTAGACAGGAAAAATACTAATAATCATTATTTTTATTATATTTATTTATTTTTGTAAAAATTTGGGAGGGAGTCATGTATTTTATTTTATTTTTTTTTTTTTTTTTTTTTTTTTTTTTAATTTCATTTTTTAGTCCAAAGGGGCTTTGTCTCTGAGGGACTATTGTTTTCGTTCTGCGTCGAATCACTCTGAATGTTCGTTTCACTTTTCAAACTTGCCACCAAATATTATCACCCTGTATTATATTTTTTTAACAGTGTGTCACCTTTATTTATTAAAATATAAATAAAGAAGAGTGTCCGTACGTTTGTCTTTCATACAAATCTATAGTTTTATTCCGAATGAACTTCTCACGCTTAACCTTCAAAATGACTCTCAACCACTCTGTGAGGTCCTCACTCATTATATACATATATCTTACGACATATATTTATATACATAGATTTATTACTTCCTTGTACGATGTAAATGAAGTATTCTAATCACGTAAAATTCCGAGTGTTATATTTCAACGAAAATATCCATTTTGACCGCTATCGAATGCGTTTTAACGATGTTTTTGCTTGACATCTGTACGTAAGGACAGAATGAAAGACTGCTTTTCTCCAAATGGATTATAAAATTGATTTAAAGTGGATTCAGAAGAAATTTTTTTCCGTAACGTCTGTACGTATGTATGTATCTCCCATAACTCAGAACGTTCAAATTTTGAGTATACGACTGCTATAACATGTAGCTGTGCACCTCCCTTGTGCTTGCAATCGGCGGCACCAAAAATACATATACAGTGGTGGCCAAAATTGTGGACACTTTTGGAAATTTTTATGTTTTTGAACTTTGTATGCTTATAGAAAAAGTTACGTTTCACAAAATGCAAACTTGTATATATCATTTTAAAGAGAATTTATTACTGAATTCAATACAAAACACAAAATTCAACATTTGCAATACAAAAAAAGTTAAACGATAATAGTTATCGATATACATTAGATAGTGATGATTGCAGTGAGTTATATCATTACTTAGTAGGGTACCCTTTATTTTTGATTACAGCTTCACATCGACGTTTTATTGAGCTGGCAAGAGTTTTAAGCTATTCTTTCGTTATTACATGATGCCAGGAAACAATTATAGCCTCAATTAGTTCCCTTTTATTTGATGGGCGCCTCATTCGGACAAGAGTTTTCAAACGGTGCCACAAATTTTCGATAGGATTGAGGTCAGAACTGTTTCCTGGCCATGACAATAATTTAATGCTCTTTGTAAGAAACCACTCTTTCGATATTTTGGTCGTGTGGCAAGGAGCAGAATCCTGCTGAAAAATAAACGAAGCACTGTTGGGAAAGAGATCTGTCATGGAAGGTAGAAGTTTTGGTTCTAGAATAGTGTCAATGTATTTTCTGGCATTCAGTGTCCCATCGATGACATGAAGGCGACCAATACCATCTGTTGACATGCATGACCAAATCATAACACTAACTGGGTCCTTCACAGTTGCTTGAATGCAGTCAGAATGTAGCTCTTTTCCTATTCTACATCTTACATATTTTTTTTATTGAATTTGTTTCCTGATATCGTAAACAAAACTTTCGGACTCCAGATGTAGTCACTGAACAACCCACCTGTCTTGCAATTTCAGCATAGGAAAGACCACTTTCTCGTAACACAATAATATTACATCTCTTTCTAGGTGTCTAATCTACTCTTTTATTTGATGTCATTGCTTCTTGACTAAATGTTAAAAATTTTTACAAAAATTCCTACTTTTAATTGCAGTGTATAAGAAACAGGTCCTCCTTCTACAGAACAAAGCAAAATAATGAATTGTTTCAAGTGTAAGCATGATGTCAGCTTCTACTGGCAGTTACTAACATTTGATTGGTTCTCAGAACAAAAATAGTGATTGGCCAGAAAAGCTAGACATTACAAACCACTTCATAACTGTGTTTTTTATTTATATTAAAGTACGTATAACGTTTTTTGTATTGCAAATAATTGTATTTTGTGTTTTGTATTGAATTCAGTAATAAATTATCTTTAAAATGATACATACAAGTTTGCATTTTGCGAAACGTAACATTTTCTATAAGCATACAAAGTTTAAAAACATAAAAATTTCCAAAAGTGTCCACAATTTTGGCCACCACTGTACATACCCACTCTATTACTCAACTGAGTGAGCTGTTTTTTTTTTTTTTTTTTGTTTTGTGTGTGTGTGTGTGTTGTTATATGTTGGTAAATTGGGCTTTTTTTGCTTTAAAATGATTGAATTATATTATTCTTATCTTCCGGTTAAGGTTTTGAAGCCTTTAGTTAATTTACATGCAATAGTTGTAGAATTAATAACAATTTGAAAGTTGATTCAGAAGTCAAACAACAAAAATCAGCGTTAATTCACAAAATTTTCACAGGACTAGTTTCGATGGTTTTACCGAACCATCATCTTCAGCTGCAAAACCGCAAATGAACAAGATAGGAAATAATGTTTAGATAAGATAAGAAAGCCTGGACAAGAATAAGCAAGTGGCGCCATCTGTTGGCGAAACCAGAACTAAAACATAATTTCTCTAAAAGCCGAAGGCAAATTTGGATTGGAATTAGGATCGTTAACTAGAACAGAAAGATTTTTTATGAATGTGAAATGCCTCTAGAAAATCCAGTTCTCCAATGGAAGATGTTTTTTGAATAATTTTGGCAGCAGAAAGAAAAATTGAAAGTGTGATTTTCGGACCAACAATGTTGAGCAACAGAAGACCTTCTGTGTTTCCTTTTTTCTAACATATGCCTCATGTTCTTTGACGCGAAATTTTAAGGCTCTCTTAGTTTGGCCAATGTAAATTAAACCGCCGCACTGGCAAGGAATCCTATATAAATACCCCAGGAATTCATATCCGGAATGGGGTCCTTGAGTATAGAAGTTGGAATTTTATTGATGGGAGAGTAAACAACCCGAAAGTTAAATTTCTGCAAAATATGTGCAACTTTATAGCTAATTGATGGAAAGAAGGGAATGACAACAGAATTTTTATAATCTCCTAAAATAAGAGTGTGGCTTTTAGTGTGTTGAGATGAGAATTTTTTAACTGCTTGATTAATAATGTTGGGTGAAAAGCCCCTGTCAATAGCTATTGCTTTTAAATAATTTAGTTCCTCATCAAGGGCTAGTTTGGAGGAGCAAACTTGAAGAGCACGGAAATCATAGGAATAAAATGAAGCTAACTTTTGTTTAGTCGGATGACATGATTTAAAGTGTGGTGGAAGGCAAACCGATGAAGGTTTACGGTAAACTGTAGTACTGAAGTTGGATGTGTTACGTGTGATCAGAATGTCGAGAAACGGAAGAGAATTGCAAGTCTCAAGTTCAAAAGTGAACTGAATAGCAGGATCAATAGAATTCATTGTTGAACTCTATTTAAATCATCTTTATTACCTTCAAACAGGGTAAAAGTATCGTCTACGTAGCAGAACCATGCCGGGAAGTTTAAAGTTTCAAACAATTTTGATTCATAATAATACATGTAGATATCAGCCAGGATGGGACTGAGGGGGCTTCCCATGGCTAATCCCTCAGTTTGCTTGTAATATTTATTTTGGAAAACAAAATGTGTTTGTTTCAAACAGAGTTGAGTGAGAGAAATTAGCTCATCAATTTCGATGCAAGAGAAATGAAATTCGCGAAGTCTGGTTTCTAGACATCTTAATGCACCCTCCACTGGGACATTGGTGAATAATGATTTTACATCAAAAGAAACCTGAGTAAATTACGAGGAGAAATGTTTTTTTTAACCTTTTTTACAAACTCTATTGAATTTTTTATGGTGTAAATGTTATTGTCTAATAGAGTGGAAAATCTAGAAACTAAATATTTAGCTAATGGATACGAGGCAGTACCTAAATTTGATACAATAGGGCGGAAAGGAATACCACTTTTTATGAATTTTGGGAAGAGCATATAATCTGGCACAATTCGCAACAGATGGGATAAGCGAATGTTTTAAGTTGCTTGAAATGATTTGCGAAGATTTGATCGCAGTTTTTATTTTGGATAAGTCCGAAGGTGAAGGATCTTTAGGGATCGGATTATATGGTCCTTCGTTTAAGAGTTTAGTGACACCATCGATGTAAGTGTTTCTTATCCATGACGACTATCTGGCCACCTTCGTCGGCCTTTGAAATGACAATATCCGGGTTAGAATGAATCTCGCGCATTGTAGCTCTTTCTCTCTCAGTTAGATTTGGTTTCAAAGGTTTTTATTATGAATTTCACATTATGAGCGATAAGATGCCTAATCATTTCTTTCTGTGAATCTGAAATTTTACTGAAAACTTGAAAGCTTTTTCGATAGGAGCCAAAATCTTTGGAATCGAGGGTTTACAGGTTTGTGAGAAGTTAAAATTAAAAATTATATTTTTAGAATTCTCTCTTGTTCTTCTGAAAGACTAACATTAGAAATATTAACTATTGGCTTGATGTTTACAATGGGAAGATTTTTTGAACTACTTGAACTGGAAGACTGTAAAGGAAGTTTTTCGAATTTAACTGCAAGGGTGTTTTTATGACGGTTAACTGCATTCTCCGTTCTAGACCAACACTTTTGTTCAAGGGCAGTGAATTTTGGATATGTTTTAGCGAGTTCCAGATGAAGCTTATAGAGTTCATGTTCAATTTTGGACAATTGTTGACGTGTATCCCTTATCACGGACCGAAGTAAGGCAAGTTTGCAATTTAACAGAATTCTTGAAACTCGACTCGAAGGTTTTTGATTAGATTTGATTTGAATAAAATTGGGGATCAATTTTTTACATTTACATTTAAGTAAAAAGTCAAGATGATTCAGGAATTTTTGCCGTTTCAGGCGTAATTTAGTGAAACGATTAACGGATGAATGAAGGCATGATAAACAATGCAGAAAAAGAAAATCAAACTAAATTAACTGAGCAATAATAAAGTACACACAAAATAGCAGAAAAAATCCCTCACTGAAATGAATAGAAAACAAAATGTTTGTAAGCAAAATGCATGAAATCAGACAAGCAAAGCACAATATCCAAATGTACAAAAACATAAAACATAACTTGAAAATTGCAAAAAAAATGTACTCACCGAAACTCCTACAATCACAAAATGGGCGGCCACACCACGTGCAAAAAAAAGAAAGCAAAATGTAAGCCTGTTTGGGGCTTCTATAATTAAGACACAATAAACACGCCGAATAAATACTGATTCAGAAGTCAAACAACAAAAATCAGCGTTAATTCACAAAATTTTCACAGGACTAAGTCCTGTGAAACAGGAAACTAACTCCTGTGAACCTAAACTAAGTCCTGTGAAGTCCTGTGTCACAGGACTAGTCCTGTGAAAATTTTGTGAATTAACGCTGATTTTTGTTGTTTGACTTCTGAATCAGTATTTATTCGGCGTGTTATTGTGTCTTAATTTGAAAGTTATTTAAATGCGGCTAAGCCTAATTTTTGTTACCACAGCAGCCGTATTTGTTTACATTTGAAACTTAGCAGAATAGTGAATTAAGTCAATTTCTGCACCAACTTCAGTGTTTTTTTGCCGAATGGGCCCAAAAAGTAAACTTTCAGTTTTGTGCACCGAAAACTCTGCCGTCTTGCCTGCTGGCCGAATTGCTTGTTTTGCGTAGAAACTTTAATTTTAATTGTAAAAATTGTTTTTTTAATTATTTTAACTGTATTTGGTGTTTTATTTTTTCTTTATTTTTCAAGTTTTAATGAAGATATTTTGAGGTTTTATGCATTTTTGCATTTTCGCGAAGTGAAAACTGAATTTAATTGAATGAGAAATCTGTCTCTAATGAAATTCAAGGCAATAAATTTAAACGAAATGCAGCAAAAAATGCGTATAATTTAATATTTCGTAGAAGAAAGTCATGGTGGTATCCTCATCAGATTTTTTTTTATGAAGGTTTGATTAAAAATTCGGCGGTTTTAAATTTTTGTTTTGCCATTCCGGAAAGAGTAAGATATTTATGTTTCAAATTTAATTATAAAACTGTAAATATATATAAAGCTATAATATATATAAATTTAATTAGTAAATTTATATGGTATACATTATAATGTAGCGTGTTCTTGGGTGTACATCTATAGAATTTATTTTTACTCCATTTCATTTGATTTTTGGCCTTGCCTACGCTGATAATAACTATCTTAAATACTCTAAGTTTCTCCGTAGCGACAGATTCCTGATAAGAGTATTTCAGCTTCATTTTAAAGTTTTGATAAATAACAAATGTTCAGAAGTGCTCGAAGGTTTGCAACGAAGCATTGCAAACACCATGTTTTTAAATTATTCTTCATAATTATTTAATACCTTCAACACATCATTTAATAAAACATATAATACGCTCTTAAGAGACATGATATATCATAAAGACACATAAATTTCGCATTATTCATTGCACACATAGGCACACTTACACGATAGGCGACTTTCTACATTTTTTCTTCCTCTCTCAATCTAAAATTAGGTATTTTTTTCTCCCTTTCCATCGTTTATCATATCAAACAAAGTTCTAAATCATTCGTCACGGGCAGAAGTACGTTACCAACAAATAGTGACAAAGGAATTTTAGAAATTATTTGCCAGTTTTGTTTTTAAAACTCCTCTTTTTGCATGATTGCAGATCTTTACCTCTTTATTTTTCATAGCCAAGAAACTACGAGTTCATGGAGGTCATTTGCACCCCGTCAAGGGGAGGGGTGAAAAAAGAGGCTAAGAAAGGAATACAATAATTCTCCCCAAAGACACGTGGCTGCGCGCTCCCTGGTATTTTTACATAGAGGAAATATCACCTGTCTCGTTTGGGGGCTATGCCCTGATGCCAACTGTAATTTTTTTGGTCTGATTTTGAAAAATGCTGAGTGTAGAAGTACACAAACAATGCTTTCTCGAAACATTACGTTTTTGGTTTATTAAAAAAAAAAAAAAAAAAAAAAAAAAAAAAAAAAAAAAAAAAAAAAAAAAAAAAAAAAAAAAAAAAAAAAAAAACAAAAAAAAAAAAAAAAAAACAAAAAAAAAAAAAAAAAAAAAAAAAAAAAAAAAATAAAAAAAAAAAAAAAAAAAAAAAAAAAAAACAAAAAAAAAAAAAAAAAAAAAAAAAAAAAAAAAAAAAAAAAAAAAAAAAAAAGGAGAGAGAGAGAGAGACGATACAAATCAGTGTGGATTTGCATGTCATAAGAGAAACCAGGGACAGATGGAGGTGATCTGACGGGCGCGGAAAACTAGCATAAAGGTACCGGAATCTTCATGCAAATTTAGCCATTGTTCGTCAAGATATGAGGAATACCTGGCACCCATATGAATTCCATTTTCTACTATAAAGAATGCAACTTTCACCAATTTGCACATCCGTGAGAAGATCTAACTGAATAGCCATCGATTTCAACGTAAAAGTTCCGTCACCCACAGGACTTTCAATTTATGCCTTGAAGGATGCAACCTTCTTCAAGATTCCGAGACGTGATTTTAAAGATCGAAGTGAACAGTCGCTGGCTGTTCACTTCGATCCTTAAAATAAAGTTGCTAGCAATTTTTGTAAGTTAATTAATGCTCCTCAAGACAAAAGGAGTACCTGGCTTACTTGTAAACTTCAGTTTAAACTACAAAGAATGCAAACTTCGTGAGGATGCCGGGATGTCCTTGGACGGCTGTTTGTTTTAGTGTTTATATCAATTGATCCCTCACAATTTCATTTACTAACTTTTCGTTTTCGTTTCTCTTCAAATTCTGATGATGTATTAATCTCTAAATTTTTACATTTTTCAAAAATGCATTGAGAAATATTTTCTCTCATTTCCTGTAATGAAATACATACTCCCTCTATTAAGCGTGCCGGCTTTATACACAGTTATAGTTTTTGCCTGCAAGGCTTTATTTACTTTTTCGATTTCTCGCAATATTAAATTCCACGCAAATAACAAACATAAAAATTTTAAATTGATTTGTTTGAAAATGTTGTTATTCTCAGCCCATTGCAAAGATTTGTGATTTAATACCCATATCCTTCAATAATCTATATACTTCTGTTATTTGTAGATCTAATTCTTAAACAGCATTTGCTCTTTATGACGATTGTGTATCTGTATGATCTTTTAATGTTGTTTTCAAAACGGATATAAATGCATTCCATCTACTCGTTGAAGATACAAAAAAATTATAAATCCTCTGTACAGTGCCAAAAAATATTAATATACTTGAAATTTGTTGAAGCGGTTGATTTGTTAGAAAAAAAAAAAAAAAAACTGCAAAAAAGAAAATCTGAAAGAGTTCAGATTTTAAATTACGTCCGAATGGACGTTTTTTAACACTTTGTGTGTTACCTTTATTTATTAAATGTCATGTTTTTCGCCCTTAAACCATAAAATTTAGTTCGAAAGCAATATCACAAAATAATTTTAAATTGAGCATATTAATTTCCGATACACAGTCTCACGGGCTGGAGATAAAAATGTTTTTCTGTACAACGTTGCCATTGCTCGCTTTGAAATCGTTGAGTTTGTTAATCAAAAATTCGTTAAAGTTTTACAAAATATGAAATTGATAATAAAACAAATTCCAAATTTCAAATTTGGGCTTCCAGATGCCCATATTCTCAGTAGGATTACGTCATTTAAAATTGGATGGCTCTAGGTACCGTTCTTTTATCACAATGCGAGAAACATACATACATACATTTATGCAGATTCTTCATTATTTAATTTCTTCAAGTATAATACAGGGCGATAATATTTGGTGGCAACAGTTTGAAAAGAAACGGACATTCAGAGTGATTCGACGGTAATACGCAAAACGAAAATTATCGTCCCTCAGGGACAAAGCCCCTTTGGACTAAAAAGAAAAGAAAAAAGTACAATAACTAATGATATGGTACATTTCATTTTCAATCACCGTTATTTATTCTTCGGATGCTATTCCAGAAGGATTATTTTATGAAATTGCAAAACTCAGCAGTTATGTCGCCGTCTATGTTCAGTTAATGGATTTTGGCAAGTTTGTTGTGACAAAGTAAAGAGCTTAAGCTACTTCCAATAACAAATTTTAATGTTACAAAGTATTATACTGTGAAAGCTCATGTCTTTTGAGAATAAATTAATACTATTAGATTTTCTTTTCTTTTTTCAGCTGTATTGTTTATAACATAAAATTCTTTTAATATTCACTGTTGTATTCCTAAATTAAAAGTTAAAAATCAGATGTTTTAAAAATAATTTTCTGAATTTTTGATAGAATAGCTAATTTGGCCCCCCTTCTATTTGTTCACCTGAGGCAAGTGCCTTACCCTCGTCTCGGCCTTGGCTAGGATAACGGTTTACATAATTTTTCATATTAGAATCCGAAATTTTTAGAATTCAATGTTTAGATTTTAATATAGTCTTATATGTACAGTGAAACCATCTCGAACGAAAATCTCTCCAAGACAACCACCTTTGAAAGTGACCAGTATTCCTGAAAGACGTATTCGTCGTGATCACTTCTCTAAACAACCACCAATAAAAGTGACGTATATTTTTGGGAACATAAATTAGAATTGTTACCTCTGAACGATGACCGGTTCCACAGAAGACCAGAACCATCTAGAAAAATAAAGAATCATCTTACAGAGGCCTCACTATATATATATACTACACTATAAGAATAAATATCTCAACTCTTTCGAAAATAGAAATAATTAACAACGTTAAAAATAAGTTTTTAAAAAAATATTATTGACGAAATCACCGAAATTTAGAGCTAGCATTTATAGAAAAAATAGAAAACATTCGTTGTGGAGGGGAACGAAGATATAGTACGCAGCGTTTACTAGGAAAGTTTAAGCATCAGTCTCATGTTATATAATACATCATGCAGCATAAACATAACAGAAAAATATCTGATGTGGACACCGCATAACGTCCATGTACGGCCCATTAAATTATACATATTTTTGCTGCATTTCATTTAAACTTATTTCCTCGAATTTCATTAGAGATATATTTCTTATTCAATTAATTCAGTTCTCACTTCGCTTCAAGGCAAAAATGCATGAAAACTCAAAATATCTTCATTAAAAATTGAAAGATACAGAAAAACACAAAACACGAAATACATTTAAAAACAATTAAGTATATTTTTTTACAGTTAAAATTAGAATTTCTAAGCATAAAAGCAATTTGACCAGCAGGTAGGAAGACATTTTCGGTGCACAAAATCGAAAATTAACTTACTCACTCGGAAAAAAGGTACTGAAATTGGTACGCCAGCTGACTATTGTACTAAGTTTCAAATATAAACAAATGGCGGTCTCGTTAGACTGAACGCCATTTAAACTTTTAAATTGTTAATAATTCTACAAGTATTGCTTGCAGATTAATTAAAGGAATAAAAACCTTAACCGGAACATAGAAACAACATAATCACTTTTAAAGCAAAAAATGCACAATAAAAAAACGGAGTTCACCGAGCCGGATAACAGCATACGTATACACGTTTGCTGCTGCCGATTGCTGCGAAAAAGGGAGATGCTCAACTGCATGCTATAGCAGTCCCATATACAAAGTTCCAACGTTCTACGGCTACTTATTGAGTTATGCCAGAAACATGCATAGATACGTGTGTACGTACGTAAGCTTAATGATACATTTTTAGCAAATTTTAAATAAACAGTTTCAAGAAATAATTCTAAACCTACATTTGAATCTTAGGAAAAAGGACGGAATAATTTGATTCGGATGTTCTTCAACTGGAAAACCGTCTCCGACAAAAGATGCCCCCACGACAAGAGAGGGAGAAAGGGAATCAGAAGCAAGTCGGGCTTTATAGAAAAAACGGACTTCTACTTCTAACACCTGCATTTTCTACTTCCTCCCTGGAAACCGTCTGTTACGAGTTCGAATTAAAAAAAGAAAATAAAAAAGGGACAGACAGATGTTACTCTTTTAAAACTCCAACTGAGCGTGTCCTCGTATGTGACACAGCAATCCTTGTTGACATCTTCATATTCTAACTTCTGCGCGGGAAAGTTGCCTCTGCGATAAAGGTGTTTGTGGTGTTTTCTTGAAAATTAACATCTGTACTCGCGATTGGTCGCGATCGTTCATTAGTATAAATTTGAAAATAAAAAATAAGCTGTCACAGGTTTTTGCTGTTATCTGCCAAACAGACACTTAGGCATTGTATACAACAGCTAAAAACAAGTCCTGAATACTTTGTTATATTACACTGAAATCTCCCAAGGTGCCTGCCTGCCTGTCGTATATGGCAATTTCTAAAAGTAACAGTACTTCTTAAAACATAAATAAACATCAGTATTAAACATTAACTCTACAAAAAGGCTACTTCCATAGAAGACCAAAATCGTAAGGAACTGTGGTATGGTCGGCTGATGAAGTTTCGGTTGTACCGGGAAAACTCTGTGCTAGTTATGTTCTTTGAAAAATTAGCCTCTTTTAAAAGGAATTGTCTCATTCAGTGTCAATGGATCCAGATGAGAGCATAACTGATTTTCTATTTTCTTTTCAGAAAATTTTAAAACTCTCGTGAGAAATCTAATGCCACGTCCCCGAACCAAATGTGGCCTGCGAAGACCTTTCAGTTATGTATTTGTTGCAAACACGATGTTGCAAAGATTTCAATATTTTAGTCATTTGAAGTTCGAGTTTATATTATTTTCATTTCCATTATAAACGAACGTGAATAGCGCAGCAGAAAATCTATAAATGGGGATAATCAGTTTACAATGAGATACAAACCCTATTCAAAAAGGTGAAGATACAGATTTGATTAACTTTCATTTCAAATCTGTCTTCTTCCCGCTGGCTGATTTGCTTGTTTTTGCGTAGAAACTCTATTTTTAACTGTAATTATTTTAAAACTGTTTTAACTATATTTGGTGTTTTTTTTTATTTATTTTATTTTACAGTTTTTAATAACGATATTTTAAGTTTTGATGTATTTTTGCTTTGCCGCGATGTGAAAACTGAATTAATTGACTGAGAAATGTATCTCTAATTAAATTCGGGGAAATATGTTTAAGTTAAATGCAGCAAAAAATCTGTTTAATTTAATAGGCCATACAATGAAGTCATATGATGGTCACTTCAATTTCTTTTTTTTTTTTTTTTTCCTAAACAAGTAAAACTTTCAAAACGCAGACGATTATTCTTGTAATGGATTTTAATTTAATAGAGAAAATTATGACAAGAAACATTGTCTACTAAAACAGCTCAACAAAAGTTTTGGACTGTCCAAATTACTTTGTGAGTTATTGATTAACACTTTTGGAAGAAATCATTTTATTATAAAGAATATTTTGATGCTATTTACTTTCCAAAAAAAAGTCTTAAAACAAAAACAAAAAAATAATATATTAGAAAAAAAATGAAGTCTGGCTTTTAATAGTTAGTCAAATACATTTGCAAATAAAATTTAAAAACAGAAGTTTCCAAAAAAAATGTGAGGTACTGTAGAATTTTAAATGTATATATCTCCCTAACTCAAAAACGATAAACTATAGAAAAGAAATTATTAACATTTTTAAAAAATTTTTAAAAAATGTTAATAATTTCTGTATACAAAAATTGTATAATATTGAAAAAATTGTATAATATATATAGGTCTTTTTTAGTTTGTTCTCCTTTCTTATTGTTCATGCGATGCGTGCGTTGTTATACAACAATTTCAAATTAACTAGAAGTGGACTGTACTAAATATTTTATTCGACAACTTTAATCAAAATGCGTGCCATCTTTCAAGCGATGACTTACTACTAACAACAACAGCAATAAAAAATAAAACTGAGTAAGCGTTTACAGGGTTGCTGTAATGAACATCTGCGCCATGCAAGGCGCCAAGAAGAGAAAAAATGACGTAATCTTAACAGTTAAATAGTCTTAATGACTTAACATACCCCCCGGCATTGAAGGGTTACTTCAATAATTTCGTTCGATAATACTCATAATAACACCTACAAAATTGTACAATTACTACCTTATACAATAAATGCAATACGAATAACATCTCTTAATTCAATATAATAATATTCAATTTTCAATACAAAATTTTATGCACAATACAAGTTACAATACAAGTTTTATATAATAAGCTAACACTTAACTAACTTAGGAAGCTTCTTCCTTGGGGTAAAATTGCAATTTTTGTAATTCCACGCTTAATGATGCCCTTTTGCTGTCTGTATTTCTACTACTCTAACCTTACCGTCAACTCCAGGAAAAATTCTTGTAATGCGCCCTAACACCCATCTACAGACAGGAAGCTCATCCTCCTTAACTAGTACTAGCATACCTATTTTAATATTCGTTTGTTCTACCTTCCATTTTGAACGCTGTTGTAGTGTGTTTAAATAGTCCCTATACCAACGATTCCATATCAACTGGACAAATCTGGTAGTTCGTTTCCATCTTGAGAGTCTGTTTTCAGGTATATCAATTAATTCGGGTTCTACTATAGCATTCAAGGGTCTTCCAATGAGAAAATGACCTGGTGTTAATGCCTCTAAATCATTTACATCGGAAGATAAGGGAGTAATAGGGCGAGAATTTAAAACAGACTCTATCTGAGTTACTACAGTTAATAACTCCTCGAAAGTCAACCTTGCATTACCTACAATCCGCTTTAAGTGATTTCACGGATTTTATTCCAGATTCCCATAGTCCACCAAAATTAGGTGTCCGTGGGGGAATAAAACTTCCATACTATTCCTTCTTCACCTAAATAATCTGCTAATTTTTTGTCAGGATTTCTAATTAAATTGTTAATTCTTTGCAATTCGGCATTTGCGCCAACGAAGTTTTTTGCGTGTTGTCTGAGATTATGATTGAGCATTTTCCGCGCCTAGCAATAAATCTCTTTAAGGTGGCAATAAATGCGTCAGTGGTGAGATCACTCACTAGTTCGAGATGCACTGCCTTTGTTATAAGGCAAATGAAAAGAGCTAAATATACCTTATGAAGAGTTCCCTTCATCTGTCCCTTGTACCTAATAAGAAATGGACCGCAAAAATCGGTGCCGACATGATTAAAGGGTGAGCTTGGATTTACGCGCTCTGCAGGTAATGGCCCCATAATTTGTTCCATAGTGACTGGTTTATTTTTTACTACAAATTATACATTCATGGGTAATCTTTCTAGTTAAATTCCTACCTTGTAATGGCCAAAATTTCTGTCTCATAAAACACAATAATGCTTGCGAACCTACGTGTAAATATTTCTGATGATAATGCTCAGCAATCAGCTTAGTTAGTTTGCATTTAACAGGCAAAATTATTTGATGTTTTTGTGAAAACATTACATTGGCCCCTTGTAATCGGCCTCATACTCTCATTACATTATTTGCATCCAAAAAAGGGTTCAAAGAAAGTAAATTACTTTTTTTATTATTAATGGGTTTACCTTGTGCGAGGGAGTTGTAATCTGAATAAAAAACTACATTTTTGAACCTCTCTTACTAAAAAGGATTCTGCCTCATTTAACTCCTTTGAACTTACTCCTCCTGTTCTTCTCTGTGCTTCTTTCTGTTTTGCACACCTAGAGTTCCAAATGAACCTGAAAATATAACTAACAATACGTAATAATTTTAAAATAATTGTTAGTGATATCTAGGACATTATCAATAAATTTTGAAGGCAAAGTGCATAAACAAGCAATGTCAGTTCTTTTTCTCAGTTCATTAGAAAATGTCTCTGTTTTTTCTAATTGTTCAAAGTCAATGTTCTTGTTAGGTATGACACCCTCACTCAAGAATGGAGGACCTTTCCACCACAGATCAGCATCATGCAGCTTGTCAAAACTCAGTCCTCGGGAAATAAGGTCTGCTGGGTTCTCCTCTGAACGCACATAATTCCACTGGCGTGTATGTGTTAGCTCTTGGATCTGCAACACTCGATTAGCAACAAAAGTTTTTAGTACATGCGGGGGATTCTGAAGCCATGCTAACACTATGGTTGAGTCACACCACAGACATATTTTACTGATGTCCAATTTCAATAAAGGCACCACCTTTGCAACAAGCTGTGCTAGCAGTACAGCTGCGCAGAGTTCCAGTCGAGGTACTGTCAGCGGTTTTAGTGGAGCTACTCTGGACTTGCTGCAAAGCAAATGTGAAGATAAATTATTGTCACTTCTACAGCGTAAATAGATGGCTACTCCGTATGCGTGTTCTGATGCATCTGAAAATCCATGAATTTGTATATCAGAAAAACTATCCTGTAAAACATATCTACTGACTTTCAAATTGTTGATAGATTGCATTGAATCAATAAAAAGTTGCCAATCCTTAATTATCCTTTCGGGTAGCGGATCGTTCCAATCAAGCTTCAATAACCAAAGTCTTTGGATGAAGATTTTTGCTTTTGTTATCCCTGGACCAAGCAGTCCTAATGGATCATAAATGCGAGCAATATCAGACAACACTGTTCTCTTTGTGTAAGTATTTGGTTTCTTGATCGTTGATTTGTACGAAAAACAATCTATCTTTGGATTCCATAATAATCCTAAAGTTTTGATGCTCTGATCGTCATCGAAATTACTGAAAGAATATTCCTCTTGTCCATCCGGAAACTGCAAAAGATCAGGATGATTAGCACACCATCTGTGCAGACGCATTCCTCCACGTGATAATAGGTTAATCAATTGCGACTGTAATTCTTTAGCCTCTATTAGAGTATGGGCTCCTGTGAGTACGTCATCGACATAAAAATCCCTTTGTACTATTGGCGCTGCTAACGAAAAATTATTTTTCTCGTCTTCTGCTAATTGATTAAGTGTGCGTGTTGCTA